GAGGCCTTGAGAATGACAAATTTGAGCATAGAAATGAAAAACTCAATGCATGGGCTGAATATCAGAATCGATAAAACTAAAGTTCAAATTATTAAACCAGTATTTTGAACCAAGGACTTCTCTCAGAACAAAGCACAAGAAGCAACATAGATGGAAGGTAAGAAAAATATAGAGAAATGGAAAATGAATTCAACAGTGACAAAATCCATCTAATAGTTCTAGAAAGAGGGAATAACAACAGTGGAGGAAAAGAAATTTGTATTCAAGTAAGGAGTAGGGGGAAAATTCTGGGAAAAAAGAAACCAAAACAAAAGCATGAAAGTCTCCAGATTGAAAGGGCCCATCAAGTGCTGGACAAGTTAAATAAAAATAAGATCTCCATTTAGGTATCATGTAGAAAAATCTACAAGGAAGAAGAGAAAATTCCTCCATTTAGACAAAACTGATTCCTTGCAAAGGAATAAGAATCAAGTGTCATCACAATTCTTACTGACACCATTGAATGCAACAGGCAATAGAACAATAATAGTCTCAGAGATCAGAGGGAATTTATTTTTAACCTGGAATTTGAGGTGCAGTAAAACTATCTTTGAAGTAAGAGGGAAAAATAAAGATATTGTCCAACATGCCAGAAGGAATTCTTAGACAGGATGGAACCATATAAAGTGAAAAAAGGAATCAAAAAGGAATTCCCATATTCTGTATCCAAATATGGGACACAGCAAGTCATGTTAAGCAAAGGAACCTAAAGAAATTAAGAAATTTTACTAATTGAAATACAAGATAATATTCAAACAAAATCATTAATATTTTGTAGCTAAAGTCTCAAATCATATCAACATGGTAAGTGTTGGGGAAGAGAGTAAAAAGAGTAATAGGAGAAATGAAGTAGTGTAGAAAATATAGTAAAAGAAGTAAAAGGTTTTACTATTTTTCACTAGGAGGATCCAGGTACTGATTGATTCCAGATATCATTATGCTGCTTAAAAATGCACCCAATCTATTACAATCAATTGGAAGTATACAAATAGGATTAGTATCTTCAAACCATTAGAGAAGAAAGAATAAAATGAAAATATATCCAATAAATCTAAAAAAATATAGGAGAGATAGGGGAAGATACCAAGAATTTATGATAAATAAAAAGCACCCCAAAATGGCAGGTATAAGCCCAAATATATCAGCAATATCAGTAAGTATGAGCGGTCTAAATACTTATTGGATGACAGAAACTCTTAAATTAGGTTTAAAAAATTAAAGCCTGGTATATGCCACTTGCAAAATACATCTACAGCAAAATGACAGAGGGAGGTTAAAAATAAGGGGATGGAAATAGCTATGTCATGCAAATATCAACAAAATCAAAATAGGCAGAGTTGTAACAACGTCAAACAAAATAGAATTCAAGGTAAAGAACAAGGAAAAGTCATTAGGGCAAAGACATATTTCACATTGATAAAATATAACATCCACAGAAAAGCTATATAGCCATGAACTTTTACGTACCCAATAACATAGCTTCAATACATAAAACAAAAACTAAAAGATATACAAGGAAAAAGTGATAATCCACAATCAAGGTAAGAGACTTTTTTTCTCAGCTTTCAGAAGTCACCAGATCAAGTAGTTGTAGACCAAGTACAGATAGAGAGGATCTGAATGATATATATATATATATACTATAATTTTCAAGTGTGGTTTAAAACATATAATGCTAATAAAAAAAGACTGCTCATTATTTTTAGCCACATATGAAACATTCAAAAAAATAACTCATGTATTAGGTCACAAAGGCAATTTCAACAAATCCCATGAGAAAGAAATTAGACAGGCTACCTTCTAGATCAAAATGCAATAAAATTAGAAATCGATAAGAAAGAAAGAGCCAAAAAGAGTCTATTCACCTGAAAATGTTAAATATCTCTTAAATAATTCTTAGGTAAATAAGAAAAATTAATATTACTATTTAGAAATAAATGACAAGGAGAGGCCATATATCAAAAACCAGCGGTATATACCTAACTCAGGAAAATTTATAGCCTTAAAAAAAGTTCTTAAAAAAGAGAAAAAAAGTTGAAAACAAAGTAACTAAGCTTTTCAACTCAAGACATTAGAAAAAAAACAAAAACAAAAATAAATACAATGAAATTTAAGAAAGTGTTGATAAAGATAAAATGCAAAAAGCAATGAACTAGGAAACAAATCAATAGTGCCAATTAATAAAACTAAAAGCTGGTTCTTTGAAATCACCAATTAACTAGAATACCCTATGGCAGGACTGAGCAATTGGGGGTATGGTGGAAAAGAGTGACAGAAAAATGGAAAATTAAGAAAAGAGATATAAGAACATTTTAAATTAAAGAGAAAATATATGCTAATTTATACCAAAGCATTTGAAAATCTAGATGAATTGGATAATTTTCTGGGAAAGAATAAATCACAGTAATTGGCTCAAAAAGAAGATAATCATGAAAGACCATAATCATAGAAGAAACTGATATGGTAATTAAAGCTCTACCCAGTCCCTGCAAAAGTGTACCAAGTAAGAACCTTTGCAGCCTCAATGTTCTACCAAACATTCAGGAAATGCAGAATTCCATGCAATACACTATTCCAGGGCTTAAAAGAAAATAGAAACTACCCAGCTCATTTGATGCTGCTAGCATAACCCAATTCCAAACTGGACAAGGAAAACATACACAAAAGGAAAAAACCATAAGCCAATATCATTTATGAGCAAAAATCCTAAACAAAGTACAGTAAAACCCTGGATTGTGAGTAACTTTGTTTGCAAGTGTTCTGCAGGCGAGCAAAGATTTCTAATACATTTTAACGTAGTAAATGAGCGATGTCTTGCAATACGAGTAGTTTGTTTCCAGAATGAATTATGTTCTCAACCCAAGGTATTTGAAAATCAAAACCAGTAAGTAATGCATTATGAACAGAAATATAAGAATGGTTCAACATTAGAACACCATACATGTTTCTGACTAGATTGAAATCATCTCACCAGGTGATCTTAATGGATGTTGAAATTTGATAAAATTTAGCACCCATTTCTGCCTTAAAAAGCCCAACAAACTTGATAATGTCTTCTACTATGGACCCATAGCACACATCACAGTTAATGGTAAATTATCAGAAACAATCTCATTACAGTTAGGATCAAGGCAAGGCTGCCCACAATCGCTGCTGCTTTACAGCCTTGTGCAGAGGGACCTCCCATGGAGAAAGACAAGAAAAGAAAATAAGAAATGTAACACTGGGGGCCGGCTGAGTGGCGCGATAGTTAAGAACTGGCTTGGGACGCCAGAGGGCCCCGGTTCAGATCCCACATATGAGGGCCAGTGACACTGCCCTCTACAGCTAAGATGCTGAACAACAGCTCAACCTGGAGCTGGGTTGCCGTGAGTCGCCTGCAATGGTGTAGGCTGCAGCCCCTGTGGCAGTGGGTTGCCAAGGGCTACCGTATGTATGTAGCCAGCAGCCAGCGTGAGCGTCAAGCAGCCGCAGTGAGCAGCGGTCCAGAAGCTGGCAACTGATCTGCCTCACCCGGGAAGAGCGCAATGATGGTGCCCACTTGGGCCAGTGAAGCAACGTCCTCCACAACTAGATTGAAGAACAGAACCACAGCAACTTGTCTGTTCCCCTTCCCCCAATTCCCCAGCACTGTTCCCATCCCCCAATTCCCCAATAAAAATCTTTAAAAAAAAAAAAAAGGAAATGTAACACTGAACAGAAAGAGAAAAAAATCATTAGAATTTGCAGTTCATATAACTATCTACTTAGAAAAGCCACAGAAACTAAAAGGCTATTATAATTAAATATGAATTCATCACGTGAGAGATATAAAATCAACACACAAAATTAATATAACATCATATAGCATTTGATAACCTTATTCACAAAAGGAAAGAGAAGAACCTGAAAAGCACCACAGGCAAACTTAATAAGAGCTATCAGCAGAAGAAAAGTATGAAGCTTTAGGACATGGAGGAAAACCAAAATACATGTAAACACTGCGAGGATGCCTGGTGGAGCAGAGCTTAAATCGCTGTCTTTGAAAGCCTCATTTCTTTAACACTAAGACCAGACTCAGACAGCAAAGGTCAAAGCCAAAGCCCTGCCTTTTGAGCTAAGGGTGCTGGGCTCTGCAGATTGGGGACTTTATGGGCAATGGGGAGAATGACAGAGATGTCCTTTCAGGAAGCTAAAATGCGGGCACGCATCAGGAAGAGAAGGGAGAAGAAAGGCTGGCAAACATGGAGAATAAAACTTGCAGACTTGATAAAGTTTCTCCTTGTGGGCCCCGACCACGGTGAGATCTAGGAGTGGGAGAGGGAAGGGTCTCTCCCCCCACATACACCCCAAAAGCTGTGGTGGCCAAACAGATGGCACAACACATTTTTAAACCACTTTTTAACACAGTTACATTTTTTGCCTGCTTGCTCTTTCTCCCTTTAGTCAAAAGTCACACCAGCTGTCACTGTCTTGAAGAAAATGTCAGAGGCTTGTGGCTGCCTGTGTGTCTCCTCGGCTCAGTGCAGGTGGCAGGTGGGGGGCCCTGGGGACCTCAGCCAGCTGTGGTCCTGGCTGCAGAACTGGTGAAAAGGCTGAAGGGGGGGGCTTACCAAAATGAACCCACTGCAGAGGCTCACAGCCAATCCTTCTAAGTACAACTGCCTTCCCACGACTGCCCCTTCTAAAGACTAAACGTGCACTCGTATTTCCTGGTCTCCTGCCCACACACCCCAGTGAGGTCAGCATTATTTTCCCCATTTCATTGAGAGAGCCGTGAAGAAGCTGGCTCCCAGCCTTGCAATCTGCAAACTGTGTGACCTTAGAAAAGTCCCCTTCCCTTCCTGGGCCTTAATTTTTCGATCTGCACAATGAAATTCACCAGCAGTCCTCCAAAGTCCTTCCAGCTCGCAGGCTGTGGACTATTGTCTAGTGCTGCCTCCCTGCCTCCTGCCCCAGGGAGAGCCAGCCCACTTACACACCCAGGAAACTGGAACATGGGAACTGCCGGAAACGATCAAACTAGGTCCCGTTCCCTTAGCTTCTTTTTTCCTCTCCAAACACCAATCTGTAACCTCTTTAAATGGCAGCCAAATAGGGCAGTTGGTTTCTTGTGGAATAAAAAAAAAACAAGAAAAAAAAACTTGATGAGTAATTTGCTGAAACCAACACCCTCAACCTTTTAAAACCACACATTTAAACTGATTTAGAGAACTCTAAAGATGCATTTAAATTTTCTTTCCTCCTTGTTTAACTGTGTAATGGTTTTCACTCCCAGCAACCTTCTCTTGGAGGCGTATGCTTGACTTATTTAATAAATCCTTTTCCACATTTGAACTCATCCATTAGCAAGTAAGAAGCTCGACACTCCATTATCCGCTGCCATTAAATTGCCACATGCCACATGGAGGAAAGGAGATACCAGGGTGGCCTCCCCAGGCCAAGGCAGGTTCAGAGCTCAGCCCCAAACCTGGTTCTGGGATCCTTGTTCCTGGATCCTCCTGGGAGTCAAGGTATTCATCTAGCCTAGCCAGGGGGCTGACCCAGAGAGAGAAAGGAGGGTGAGTAAAGTTATGCCTGCTGTAAGGCTCACCTTTCTCATTCCAGGGGGCTTGGGGCTGGGTCCAGGCAGTAGCCGCCTGTGGCTAGTACCCTTTTAGGGACCACGGCAGGGAGCAGACCAACAGAGCAGGGGCCAGACCTGCCCTTGGTCCTGACACAAGGCCTCGCTGGCCTTGACACAGAGACCCAGTCCTTCTGCACATCATGTATGCGGCACAGCTGATAAAGAAAGGGCTCATGCGTTCACTGCTTTCCTCCACCATTGCCAGCTGGCCGCATTCTCAGGGGCACAGCTTAGCTTACGGGTTGATGATACCGCTGCTCATCACCAACGGGCGGCTCCAGCATGGGGAGAGAGAACAGAATCAGCAACGGGGAGAACCTTAAAGTCAGAGCTGGAAGAGGCCTCAGAGACCATTGATCCTAGGAGTTCTCAAGTTTTGCTATGTGTCTGCATTGCTCTAAGTGAGAGAGAGCTGTACAGAACACAGGTGTCCAACCAGTCTGATGCAAGCTCTCTGTGCAGCTAAGACACGTATGGGTGAAAAACAAGCACAGCTCAGCCTGACCAGCGGCACCAAGGAAGCACTCAATGCCCTGGAATGACAGTCACCCTGCAGGGGATGACCCTTCAGAAAACCGTGCACCTAAATGATGTCAGCGCTGCTGGTCTAGAGACTTACAGAAGCAAGAGTCCAGACCCCTTTTATAATGCCTCTTCCTGGACGCTTACTGAATAGGCATTGAGTACCCATTATGGGCCAGGGAGCTAGTGTGCATCAAGTGCTGGGGATATGAATCTGAAAGATGACATGGTCCCCACCTCAAGGAGACTGGGCAGGGGCAGAGCTGATTTCAAGGGCCCCTCTCTTTCATAAATCCCCAGTAGCCCTTAGGGCCAGAGAGATGCCTCCTTCCATCTAGATCTTTCTGGAATCCATTTTTTTTGCTCCTGCCTCTTGCTCAATGCACAGTGGAACAGAAGACCAGTCTTACCACGTTTCTTTTATTACCAACAGGTCTTAGGCTTTTATGGGTTTTTTAGAAGAACCTTCTGTTCTTCTAAAGGAGTACAGGGAGTGAGCAGTCATTGATTCTCTCCTGCCCAATCCAGGCAAGCTCCAGGGGAAAGGTGGGTATCGAACACTATTCGAAGAAGACTGGCAGGATGGGGCAGGGAAATGCTTTTACGCCGTCACCCAAAACGCTGTCCCCCAAGTCCCTTGCCACCACCTCTACTCATCCCGCCACCAGCCCACGGGACAGCTTCAGGAGGCCCTGAGGCTGACGCTCCGTCCCCCAACTTGTTCCTCTGTGCGACAGCCAGAAAACCTACTCGAAATCCTCCAACGGCTTCTCATCATCTCGCTGACAGTGAGGCCCTCCGTCTGGCCACGTGCGTCCTCTCTGTCCCCTCTCTCACGGCCTCTGCCCGGCTCACGCTCTCCAGTCACACTCACCCCTGCCATTTCCCTGTGCCCAGCAAGCATCTTCTCTCAGCGTCTTTGCACCTTTACTTCCCCTCTTCCCAGATAGACCGCCATTCCCCCACATACACTATCGTTTGCTCCCTCCCTTGATGCAGTTCTCTGCCTGGTGGTGCCCTCTCTATAGGGGTGAACACCTCATCTAAAATTGCACAGCTCATTACTCTCTGTGCTTCCACTGTACTTTGCTTTTTTCACAGCATCCAACACTTTGTGGTAATGGATTGTACATGAAGGCGTTTGCCTGCTTATTGTCTGCCTCTCCTTCTAGAACGGGAGTTCCATGAGGGCAGGGACCTTGTCTGTCCCCTGAAGTTATCTAGCAGTACCCCGAAGTATAAATGGTATATGGCAAATGCTCAGCAAATAGTTGTTGAATGGATAAATCCAATAAATGAATGGATTGATGTGAGTTCTTTCTCCAGCAACAACCCACCTCACCTATGGTGGGTACCACACTTCCCTAGAACCATCTACAGGCTTCACGCATCCTTCAAGAAGAGCTGGACTCCAAGACACCATTGACAATGGCCTGACGCCATCTCAGGCGCTTCCCTGTGGCTGCTCTGGCAACCTTGTATAATTACCAGCTTGCATCAGAGGCTTGAGGGAGTCAAACCAGTGGCTGGGAAGACGCACTACCTTGTGCCCCTGGAGCAGGGGTCTTGGGACAAAGCCCTGGTGCTGGCACCTGGACCAGGAGCATGATTCAAACTGGGTTTCTCATAATGCCCTGGAGCCTCCTTCATGAAGACGGCTACCTTGGAACAGGTTCCTACTTGGCATGGGTCCCCCACAGTCTCCTGCTAAGGGACCCCCTACCCCCTGAGAATTCCACTGCGCACAGGAAGTACATGGCGTTGCTTTGTCCCAGGCCCACCCTGTTGAGAGCAGATGAGTGACCCACCTTGACCACCCCAGGGAGTGCAGAGAAGACCACCCCCAGAGCCATCCTTAGTCCCCTCTCCACTGAGGTCTGTTACGCCTTTACTCAACAGTGGAAGACCAACTCCCACCACAGAATTTTAAAGAAAAACGAAACACTTGCTAAATAATCTCTATCCCCATCCAGCTGTTAAGGTATACATCTCATACTACCAGCACAGTTTAATTCACATTTCAGATAGAAACACCGGCCATGTGGCCCTGGCCAGCCAGTTAAGCCTTCACTTCCCAAGAGCTTCAGCATGTCCATCTACAAAATGGGGACCGTCTCACCAGGCTGCTGGGAAGATGCCCAGAGATCTAAGTCTGAGCCTCCAATCAATCTCGATTTGTGTAACAAGTTAGTTTAGCTCTTTCTACTTCGGTTTCCTCAGATGAAAATGAGAATGCTAGTTAATTACTAAGGTTCCCGCCAGTTCTAAACATCCATGAAATGCCATCAGGTTTTTCAATGAATTTGATAAACCTGCCAAAGATTTTACTTTCTATATGATAAAATATATAGTATATTGTAAGCCTCATTTTAATTAGTCATAGGAACCCAAGACAAGGACACCACGGAGGCCAGCAGCCCGACTTCCCACCTCCCTGGGTGTTGTAACCACTCCTGTACGGGACCTCTGGCCCCACCCACAGGGGCGTGGCTTTGTTCTTCCCTGTCTTGCAGGGCAATCCAGTAAACATCAGACACTGTGTGTGTGAGAGGGGGGCGGGGGGGGGGGAAGGTGAGGAAAGGAAATGGGGATCATATCCTTAGGCCTGAGATGGCAGAGCAGTGAAAGAGGAGTGGGTAGAATGGAACAAGAAAACTCCCTCCCTCCGGTAGCCAGTGCAAAGCTGTTCTACTGGTTCCATGTGAGGAATCTGAATTGCCTCTTCACTGAGAGATGAACAGACCTTAAAAAGGCAGCTAATATAAGATAATGATTCCAACAAAATGCAGCCTATCAAAGGGACCATAAAAGAAAGTGGGGTTAATGGTTAATGGTTATGCTGCTGAGAATCTAGGGAGCAGCTCTCAAGCCCAGTACGTTTAATACTAAGAAAACCTCCCAGGAGCCTACGGCTAGCTGGTCCCCTTGCCTATCCCAACAACCCGATGAACTGCCAGGAATCATTCTCTCCACTTCACCGATGGCGACATGGATCCTTGGAGATCGGAATATGAACTAGCAGGAAATGGCTCCTTCAAAGGCATCCAAATAGCCCCTTGGATGAGAAAAATGAGATCCAGTGCCAGTGACACATGGGACCAAGGTCATACAGCTGGGAAGACGCCCAGTTGGCATTCAAACCCAAGTTTGTCTGGAAGTCCAGTGCTCTTTCGACGACACTGCATGCTGATGTGTTTTGTGGCTTGCCCAGGTTCCCACAGTTAGTAGATTTAGAGTGGAGAGGTCAACTAGGGTCTTGCAACTTTTGGTCCAGCCTCCTTCCCACTACCTCTCTCTGAGCCTCAAAGGGAACTTCCGCCCATTCACCAGCTTTTCTGCCCCTCTTCCTTCACCCTCATAGACGGTCACCCCAGGACTCTCTCCAAGGGTCTTGGAAGTGGGAGTCCATGTAGGATGTGAGGCTCCATGACTAAGCGCTATTCACTGGAAGGACAAACGCTGGTCTTTACTACACAACCAGGCTGTGCTCTCAAACTGGGCCAGAGCCACTGTTACTTTGCATCAGCTCCAAGACTAAATAGAAGGGGAAAAGTGGGACGCTTTGGAACTGGCTTTCCTCTGTGCCAACGAAGTGCCATTATTTTAACTTCATTTGTGTGGTACAAACAAGAAGGAGATAAATGTTGTGTTCCAGCCAGAGTCTATTAGTGAGTATCAACGGCTCACTAATATGGAAATATTTTCACAACATGGAAAGATTGCGCAACCTGGCCATGCCAGGAGCGGGGAAGAACTGCATGCAAGGATCTCAGCTCTCAGATTCCTCTGCCTGGGATTTCTGAATTGTGACGCAAGATAAAAACCCACACAGTGAATTATACACTGACAGCCAGTTGCCTATAATTTTTTTTAAAATTACATACAACTTCGAGCAGGGTAACCT